CAGCAGAACCAGCCTGAGCAGCAATCAGAGCCCTCCTGCAGGCCTGCCTGCATGCTTCAGCAGAGAGCCGCGCAATCTCCTTGTCTTTCCCGTCAATCGCCTTATCCTTGGCCTCTATAGTCTTGTCCGCCATCTCTCGGTACGTGCATGCTCCCTCTCCCCCGCTTCCACTCTCCTTCTGAGTTCAGACTCCAAGGTAGCTGTCTGGCTGTCCGTCTGCCCTTTCAGCTTCTCATCCTGCTGCCGCAGCTTCTCTGCTCGGGGGAGGGAGAGAGGATGAGGGGATTGGATGGGCGTTATCAGCCCAGTTGTCCCCATCACACGCTCATGCATCTATTGCTTACCAGTCACTGAATTCCTCCCCCGCTCCTCTCAACTCTCCTCGCCACCCAGCTTCCAGGTCCATCATCCGCCCATGCATCTCCTCCTGCTCTGCGCTGCTATGCTACCCTACTCTGCTATCCCCTTAATATCAACTCACCGTGCCAACCAGCTTCCAGGTCCATCATCCGCCCATGCATCTCCTCCCGCTCTGCCCTGCTGTCTACCCACCCTGTGCTGTTCTATACTCTACCATCAATCCCCCAACTAGCCCGCCCACCCTTGCCCCCTCTTATCAACTCACCGCGCCACCCGTCTTCCAGGTCCATCATCCCCGCCCTGCATCTCCTCCTGCGCTGCCCGGCTCTGCTGCCGCACCGCCTCCAGCCTGCCCGTCAGCTCCCGTATCTTCGTTTCCGCTTCCATCAATGCCACGTTACTGTGTAATACAGGTGACGGGGAGGGAGGTGGTGGGAAGATTTGGGGGGGGGGTATGGGGGGTCAGTGGCACTGCTTATGTGACCGCTCTGCTGCCACACCGCCTCCAGCCTGCCTGTTGGCTCTCGGATTTTTGATTCCGCATGCATCAGAGACACGTAAAAAGGAACAGAAATAAGAAACGGAATACAGCTGCTAGAGCCCCGACCTTGCAGGCAAGCCGCTTAGAAAAAGTGAACTGTAAAAAAACTGATTTGAGACTCTGAAAATAAAACTGCTAGGCTTCGATTTGTACGTGAGCCGAGCCGAGGAGACAAGCAACCTCCGTACAAATCCGAAGCCTAGCAGTCTCATCTTCACAATCTCAAATCCTGTTTCTTACAGCTTCAGCCACGTTTCTGCCTGATAAGGTTGCAAGGGAAGAGAAGGGAGGGAGGCTAGGAAAGGGTTGGTGCCTCACTGCCCCAGCCTCTGCTCCAGCAGAGGCCTCTACTACCCCACTGCCTCCAGCCTGCCCGTCAGCTCTCGCTCCTTGGACTCTGCTTCCATCAATGCAACATTCCTGTTTTCAAAGAGGTAGACGTTTGGACACTTTTGAGAAATCTCAGAATGTGGGAACACTTGTGAGGCGCCTCAGCTGTGACAGCACCGCTCTGCTCCCACACTGCCTTGCACCCGTCACACCCATCTAAACCATCATGTTCCATCCCATCCCATCTCATCCATCCCACCCCACCCCACCCCACCCCACCCCATGCCATGCCATGCCATGCCATACCAAACCAACCCATCCCATCCATCCCATCCCATCCCATCCCATCCCATCCCATCCCATCCCATCCCACCCCACCCCACCCCATCCCATCCCATCCCATCCCATCCCATCCCATCCAATCCCATCCCATCCCATCCCATCCCACCCCACCCCACCCCACCCCACCCCACCCCATCCCATCCCATCCATCCCATATCCCAACCCATCCCATCCATCCCATCCCATCCCATCCATCCCATCCCATCCCATCCCACCCCCACCCCCCACCCCACCCCACCCCACCCCACCCCACCCCACCCCCATCCCATCCCATCCCATCCCATCCCATCCCTCCCATCCCATCCCATCCCATCCCATCCCATCCCACCCACCCCACCCCCACCCCATCCCATCCCATCCCATCCATCCATCCCATCCCATCCCATCCCATCCCATCCCATCCCATCCCATCCCATCCCATCCCATCCCATCCCATCCCATCCAATCCCATCCCATCCCATTCCATCCCATCCCGTCCCATCCCATCCCGTCCCTTCTATGTACACACATGCACAGCACCTTTCTCTCACACAGCCCACTGCCACCACATGGATTGTGCCTTGTTTGTGCACGCTTCATTCACCGCGCTGCCATCTGTGTCTCATGGTCCTATGTACACACATGCACACCACATTAGACCCATCTCCACCGCATCTCACCGCGCTGCCATCTGCGTCTCATGGTCCACAGCAGCATCCTCCAAAGCCTTGAGCGCTCTGTCCCTCTCCGCCACTGCTGCTGCCTTTGCCCGCTTCGCCTCCTGTGATGCGTGGACAGAGGCAGGTGGTGAAGGAGGCAGGAGACGGGAAAGGCAAACTACATGATAAACGTCCCAGATATTGAGACCTAATGTGGATGCTAAGTACGGTATCTGCAAATTCAGGACGAACAGGTTATAAATGTAAAAACGCACATTAACGTAACCGTAAAAACGTATGCAAGCACAAACGTAATATCCATCTAAACTCCACATTCATTCCCACATTCAGTCCCCCACACTCACTCCCACACCCACCTTGATCTCTTCTTCCTTGCTAGCCATGACATCTGCGTTCCCCACCGCTTCAAGCCCCTCCTCCCACTTTCATCCCTCCCTCTCATGTCACGTCTCCCTCTCGCCATCATACCACACACTCACCTGGATTGCCTCTTCCTTGCTCGCCATGGCATCCGCGTTCCCCACCGCCTCCAGCTCCTCCTGCTTCTTCTTCAGCATCGCTGCCGCCCGCACCTTGTACGCCGCCAGCTCATCACGCCCCTTCGCCACCTGGCATGACATGGCATGACATGGCATGACGTGGCGAAAGGTGGCATGAGGTGGTATGGCGAAGAATTTGAGATGTTGCAAAGAGATAGACACGGGAGGGAACACCATGCTGCTGCATGGAATGGCAGGCATGGCATGGCATGGCATGGCATAGGCAGGCAGGTGCAGCAGCAACGGCCGTCTTCTGACCCTCCACCTCCTGTCGGAGGTACCAACTATTCCAAAGGCCTCCACCCTTCCTCACCTCCGCCTGTGCAGCAGCTAAATCCGCCAGAGCAGCAGCAACGGCCTTCTTCTGCCCCTCCACCTCCTGCTGCCACGCCCCCTTCGCCTCCTGCAACGCCACCTCCTGCATCCTCTTCCCCCTCTCCATCCCCTCCACCCGCCTCTTCAGCTGCCCCACCGTCTCCTCCCAGCCGTCCTTCTCAGTCTCTTCTCCCACCCGCCCCACTCCTCACAGTCTCACCACATTACAGCCAACCCCACTCCCAACCCCCCCACCCCCCCCTGCTTGACTCACCTCTGCCTGAGCAGCAGCCAGGTCCGCCAGGGCGGCAGCAACGGCCTTCTTCTGCCCCTCCACCTCCTGCTGCCACGCCCCCTTCGCCTCCTGCAACGCCACCTCCTGCATGCGCTTCCCCCTCTCCATCCCCTCCACCCGCCTCTTCAGCTGCCCCACCGTCTCCTCCCACCCGCTCCGCTCCTCCTGCAGCTTCTGCTCCAGCCGGTGCAGCTCGCCACGTGTCGCCTCCAGAGTGGCCGACAGCCGCGCCAGCTCGCCACTGACGTGGCGGCCTCCACCTCTGCCAGCTGGCGCTCCTTCTGCGACAGCTGGACCTGCGGGGGTGGGAGAAGTGGGTGAGGGTGGAGAAAGTGGGACAGGGGGTTGTTTACAGCGGTTACAGGGTAACAACCCTGTAACACCACTGCTTGCAATTCCCACCTGCAGCGCACTGCTACTCTCCAGTGCCTTATTGCGCTCCCTCTACAGCTCAGCCGCCTGCCCCTCCTGCTCCTTAGCGGTTACCCTAACCAGAACACCAGTGCTCTCACCTGCAGCGCACTGCTGCTCTCCAGTGCTTTATTCAGCTCCCTCTGCATCTCCGCCGCCCGTGCCTCCTTCTCCTTCCCCATCAACGCCTTATGCAGCACATTCCTATCTCTCACCTGCAGCAGCAAAGTGTCCTCACCTGCAGCGCACTGCTGCTCTCGAGTGCTTTATTCAACTCCCTCTGCATCTCCGCCGCCCGTGCCTCCTGCAGCCTTCAGACCCCCTACAACTGGTTACGCTAACCCGTAACACGCGGTTACCCTAACCAGGAACGCCACTGCCCTTACCTGCAGCGCACTGCTGCTCTCCAGTGCTTTATTCAGCTCCCTCTGCAGCTCAGCCGCGCGCGCCTCCTGCTCCTTCCCCATCCGCTCCATTCGCTCCTCCACCTCCTTCACTGCCCCTGCCATGCGCTCCCGCTCCTCCTGTGCTGAGCTCGACAGCTCCAGCCACGCCTGCTCCTTGCCTGCTGCCAGCCTGCGCGACTCCTTCAGATTGTGCTCCTTCAGTTCCAAGGCCCGCCTCAGCTCGTCCACTTCTTCTTTAAGCCTGGGGAAGGGAGAGTAGGGTTCAGGGTTCAAGGTTCAAGGTTCAACGCTCCTCCTGCGCTGAGCTCGACAGCTCCACTCCAGCCACGCCTGCTCCTTGCCTGCTGCCAGCCTGCGTGACTCCTTCAGATTGTGCTCCTTTAGTTCCAAGGCCCGCCTCAGCTCGTCCACTTCTACTTTAAGCCTGGGGAAGGGAGAGCAGGGTTCAGAGTTCAAATTTTTGGGTCAGCGCTCCTCCTGCGCTGAGCTTGACAGCTCCAGCCACGCCTGCTCCTTGCCCGCTGCCAGCCTACGTGACTCCTTCAGGTTATGAAAAGCCCCTGAGAATACTGGAACTTACAAGCATCCATCTCGACATACCAAAGAATAGACCCAAGCATCGAGGCACTCACGACGCGTTGGTCTTCCGCAGCTGATCCTTGTCCTTCCGGCCTCCGTCCGCTGCGCCTCTGCAGCCACCCCCTTGGCTCTCTCCAGATCCTCCTCTGAACGGCCGCTTGCTGCTCCTCTCCTCACCAAGCTTCCGCTCTGCCTCCTCCTTCTCCTGCGCTGGGGGAGTTGGGAGAATGGGGTGAGTAGAGGGGGTGGGAATTTATCAGAGGAAGGGAAAGGGGATGGGAGAATTCAGAGGTACCTCTGCAGCCACCCCCTTGGCTCTCTCCAAATCCTCCTGCAGAGCCGCCTGTTGCTTCCTCTCCTCTGCCAGCTTTCTCTCTGCCTCCTCTTTCTCCTGCAAGGTGTGGCAGACAGGGGATTGGGTGGAAAACAGGGAACGGGTTGGGGTCAAGGTGATGAGAGGGGCCCTCTGCAGCCATCTCCTTGGCTCTCTTCAGGCCCTCCTGCAGCGCCGCCTGCTGCTTCCTCTCCTCACCCAGCTTCCTCTCTGCCTCCTCCTTCTCCTGCAAGGTGAGGGGAGAACAGCAGGGAACGGGGTATGGGGCAAGGGGATGGGACGGCCCCTCTGCAGCCACCCCCTTGGCTCTCTCCAGATCCTCCTGCAGAGCTGCCTGCTGCTTCCTCTCCTCTGCCAGCTTCCTCTCTGCCTCCTCCTTCTCCTGCGGGGAGGAGGGGAGAGGGGGAGGAGGGGAGACCAGGGTGCATGGAGAAAGGGGGAGCGGGACGGGGAGAAGGAGATGGAGGTTCAGAGACAAACTTGCCCCTGCCCCTTACCCTGCCGCCTTGCCTACATACCAGGCTTACATCAATTCACACATCACATACTGCCTCATCAAACTCCATCAAACCCTGGTGCATAACACATCGCATCACATCACATCACATTCACATCACATCACATCACATCACATCACATCACATCACATCACATCACATCACATCACATCACATCACATCACATCACATCTGTGCATTCCATACCTTTGTGACTTCCTGGATTCTCTGCTTGGCGCGCTTCTGCAGGCGGTTGAACTTGCTGTCCAGCTCCGCATACTTGTCCTTTCCCACCTATATCCTCAGATATTCCATACCCTGGTGATCCATACATACCTTGGTCACTTCCTGGATTCTCTGCTTGGCGCGCTTCTGCAGGCGGTTGAACTTGCTGTCCAGCTCCGCATACTTGTCCTCCGCTGCCTCACCTCTGCCTCCAGCTTGCTGCGCACTGCACCGCACCACACCGCACCACACCACACAGCACCACACCGAATGGTGCACGGAACACATCACACCATGAAAAGCGAGTCAGAAGGGAAGAGCCAGTACTGACGCTTGTGGCATGACACAACACCTTTGGCCAAGCACAGGCAATAAACACCGGATGTTGGTCTTGGGGACATTTTTCATGTCCCAAGATCTGCTCTTTGGAAAATGTCCCAAGAGCCAGTAGTGACGCTTGTGGCATGACACTTTTGGCCAAGCACAGGCAATAAACACCGGATGTGCAAACCAGATGATCGAGACAGTAAGAGAAGGAAACGGAGAGTAATAAAGGAACTGGCATGATATGATACTGATAAAGCAGCAGGGTGTGATTATGATGAGCGTGTTTTTACCTGTCACCAGCTTTTGAAATTTCTCACAAGTGGACAAACCCTTCTTACCTGTCGCCAGCTCACTCTCTGCTGACTCAGCCTTCCCCATCGCCTCCCTCTGCAGCGCCCGCCACTCTGGCAGCCGCCCTCCTCCGCCGCCGCCACACACGGGAGCTGCAGCCTGCGCCAGCTCACCCGACACCCGCGCCAGCTCAGCGTTTGCCGTCGCCAGCTCAGCATTCACCTTCGCCAGCTCCTCAGCCTGCGCACCGCCCGACATTGCCAGCTGTTCCCTCCCCCTCTCCGCTCCTCCCTCATCCTCCCTGCCTCTAGCTCTGCTGCTTCTACCCTTGCTTTCACCCCTTCCAACTCAGCAGTGAGCTCAGTCACTCTCTTCTCTCCATCCGCCCTCTCTGCGCACTCCTTTTCGCTCTTCTCCCTCATCCCCCCTGCAGCTCTGCTTTGATCTCTGCCTGTACCTGCTCGCTCTTCCTCTCTGCTTCCCTCACCTTCCCCAACGCCTCCTCCAACTCCTCCTCCAACCGCTCCTTCTCCCTCTTCACCGCTTTCAACGCCTCTTCCAGCTCTCCCACTCGCGCCTCTCCTGCCACAGCCCCTGCTGCCGCTGCCCCTGCCGCCTCTGCCCTGCTGCTGCGGCTTCAGCCTTAGCAGCAGCTAACTCCGCCTCTGCTGTTTCCAGTTTCTTCCTCAACTCAGCCTCTCGCCCCTCCCACTCTCCCCTTCACCTCCAATTCTTTCACCCTCTCCTCTGCTGCCTTAAGCGCGCCTCTCGCCTCCTCCACTTCAACCACACCCTTTTCCACCTCCCCTTTCGCTCTCTCTGCCTCCTCTTTCACCCTCTCGAGTTCCCCTTTAACACTCTCTGCCTCCCCTTGTGCTTTCTCTGCTTCCCCTTTAACCCTCTCCAACTCCTCTTTACCGCTCTCCACCTCCGCTTTCGCCTTCTCCAGCTCCCCTTGAAGCTCCGCCACCCGGCCCTCTAACGCCTTCCTGTCTTCGCCCATCTTAGCAGCCTCCGCCTCGCCTGATCCCTTCTCTGCTACCGCTTGCTCCAGCTTCTCCTTTAGCCCCTGAATCTCCTTCTCCTTGGCTTTAATCTCCGCCTCCTTCGCCCCTACTAACGCATCCATCTCCTTCTTTAGCTCCTCAGCCACTTTCCTTACCTTCTCACCCTCCTCCTTCGCCTCCTCAGCTGCTTTCAATGCAACCTCCAACTCTCTCCTCAGCCCACCCACCTCCTCCTCCTTCACAGCAACTTCCTCCCCCAACTCCTTCCCCTCCCCTCCAACTCCCCTAAACCTACCCATCAATCCTTCCCTCCCAGCTCCCCCCTCACAGCCTCTCCTTCCTTCTCCTTCTCCTCAACCACCTTTTCCAACCCCTCAACCCTCTTCCTCAAATCCCTCCGCCTCTTTCTCGCTCCCATCAGCCCTATCCGTCTCTGCTGCAACCTGCTTCCGCGTGTCTAGAAGCTGCTGCCACAGCTCCCAGCCTGCTGCTGCTCCTTCCCGGCACTTTCCTGGAAAGAGTCCAACGCGCTCGAGCCTTCCTCTGCTTCTCTCTGCGCTGCCTCTCTCGAATGAATCTCCTTCTCCAGCGAGGATTTGGCCGATGCCAGCTCAGCCTGCGCGGCTGCCAGCTGGTCCTTTGAGGGAATCTGACTTGGCGGCGAGATCTGCCAGCTCTTTCTGGATGCTCTGGTTTGGTTGAAAGGGATTGATCCAATAAAGAGCATTCAATTGTGATATTATGGAAGGGACGTAAAAGTGTTTGTTTGAATGTGCTTGAGTTTGGATAACAGGCATGCAATGCAATGAAGGCACAGCAGCTTGGGGAGATCCAGCTGGGCGCATGCCCACGGTGCTGCAAGAGTTTTTTTGAGAATTCTAAAAAAAACCCCTGCAGCTGGGCGCATGCCCACACCACACCTCTCACGTACCTCCTCTATCTCCGATGCAGCCTTCTGCACATGATCCACGGCCCCTTGCATGCCCCTCTATTTCTGAGGCGCCTCAAGAAATTACTAATCCCACTGTACCTATGACTCATGCCACACCACACCTCTCACGTACCTCCTCTGTCTCCGATGCAGCCTTCTGCACGTGATCCATGGCCCCTCGCATGCCCGTCAGCTCTTGAGGCATCTCGCATGCCCTCGCATACCTCTTCTTACTCATGCCCACACCTCACTTACCTCCTCTGTCTCCGAAGCAGCCTTCTGCACGTGATCCATGGCCCCTCGCATGCCCTTCAGCTGTGAGGTAAGGCTGCCGCGGCAAAGACACACATGATACAGCCGGAAGAGAGGGAGCGAAAAAGGCGTGTTACAATGAAACGTCGATGATCATCCATTACGCATCAACACAGTCTCGCTCACCATAAGATCAGACACTCAGAAGCCCACGAGGCGAGTTCTGAGACGTCAAAACTCAATCATCATTAGGGATGGTTGGTTAATAAAACTTTTACCTGGCATCGAGACGTTTGAAAATCTAGCACTGAGCTGTGAGGTCTCTGGAGCCCTAGTCAACTTTGCTTTTGCTTTTTTAACTTCGTTACTAGCAACCCACCTGGCAACTTCTTTCTTCGCTTCTGCCAGCTGCGCTTGAAGAGCCGCCTCTGCATCTGCTGCCGCCGCAGCTGCTTTAGCTGCTGCGGCCTTCGCCTCTTCCACCTGCCCTGTCAGCGCCGCCTGCGCCTGAAGCAGCTCCTCTGCCTGCGCGCCCTTGTTCGTCGCCTCGCAATCGCACCTTCCCCAAGTTCTTCCTGCGCCTCTGCTGCCGCTGCCTTGGCCTTCTCAATCTCCCCTGAAGCGCCGTCTGCGCCTGAAGCAGCTCCTCCAACTGCGCGCCCTTGTTCGTCGCCTCGCATCGCACCTTCCCCAGTTCTTCCTGCGCCTCTGCTTCCGCTGCCTTGGCCTTCTCAACCTCCCCCTGAAGCACCGTCTGCGCCTGAAGCAACTCCTCCACCTGCGCGCCCTTGTTCGTCGCCTCACACTGGGCCTTTCCAGCCTCCTCCCTCGCCTTTTCTAGCTCCGATTTGACTTCCCCCAGCTCCTTCCTGGAACTTTCGACTTGCGCGCGCAGATCTTCCAGCGAAGCTTCCTTGCCGTGTCGCAGACCCTCGAGCTCATCACTTAGCGCCCTTAATCTCCGATTCCAACTTCTCCTTATCCCCCCTCAGCCCTTCCTTTTCCTGCTCCACTACAGGAAGCTTCCTCTGCAAGTCCGCAACCAGCGCCTGCAACTTGCTCCCATCTTCCTTCGAAGCTTCCAATTCCACATGAATTGCTTTCAGCTGCCCGGCCATCTTTTCCCCGTCTGCCCGAGACCCCTCCAGCTCTCTCCGCGCAGCACTCAAAGCCTCCATCGCCTTCTCGCGCTCCGCCTGCGCGGCTTTCAGCTGCTGCTCCGCGCGCGCCACCACCTCCTGCGCGCGCCGCTGCTCCGCCTGATCACTCCGCTTCTCCGCCTCCGCCGCCTTCACCCGCTCCCCCAGCGCCTGCAGCGCGTGCTGCGCCGCCGCGCGCCCTTCCTGCGCCTCCCGCGCCTCCCCCTGCGCTTTCCGCAGCTGCTCCTGCAGACTCGTAAGCTCCTCCTGAGTGGTCATCAGCGCGCCTTGCGCCGCCGTCCATTGCTCGCGGACCATCTGGACCTCCTCTTTCGACGCGCGAAGGCTCTTCTGAGCCGCATTCGCGCCGTCCATGGCTTTCTTTCTCTCCTCCTCCGCTGATCTGGTCTGGTCTTCAGCAGCCTTGACCTTCTCGCTCGCAACCACGTACTCTTCTCTTAGCATTTTCAGTTCCTGCTGAGACGCATTCAGTTGGTCCTGCAGCTGCTGCAGCGCCGCCGGATCCGCTCCTTTAGATGCATCTCCGTTTGAAGCTCCTGATTCCGCGGCTTCGGCTCGCTTTAAAGCCTCGTCCCGGACTCGTTCGGCCTCTTGGACTTAGATTGAAGCTCCGCCTGCTGCTTTTTGAGAGCTAAAACAATCTTCTTTTTCATGGACTGCATCTCCGCTTGAAGGCGGGTGTTTTCCGCCTTTAGTTCCTCCGCGGACGCCATTATGGATCGATCGCCAATCGAAGGAAAGACCTTATTTTGCGCGCCAAACCTTAGAAATAGTAACTAGAAACGGTCGATTCCTCTGCTAATGCGATCTCCTGTTTGGACTCGGGACGCTTGATTAACAACTACAGGAAGAAGGAAAACCAGCGAGTTAGTTTGGCATTACCATGAACAAAGCAGATCTCTAGTGAGACCACGACTACCCGCGGAGATATTCTCTGCTGCTCGCAAAATGCTCAGGAGCCATGGCTTCAGGCCAGAGCCTGCCTGGAGGAGGAATAGATTAGTCTGGAAGAGGGAACCAGATAGAAGTTGAGCATTTTGGGATCTATGGGTGTCAGAACGGGTTGTAATACGGTTTCCAAAGCTTTTAGAGGTTTTCAAAACAGCACGATTCGGTGCCAAAGTGTCACGAAACGTTTCCATGCTCTTCCAGTATACCTACCACGTAAGCTACAGCAAGAGGTTCCTCGCTCGTTGCTACTCTAGACCGTAACGCATCGATTTAAATCGTGGTTAAATTGAGAATCAAGCAGAGTGGACGTTGTTTGTTCCCCGTCACACCGACCTTCTAGAGAGGTCTTCCACTTCAGTCATACACGTGCTACTGTTTGCGAGGAACTCTAGGCATGTGCCGACCGAGGCAACACTAGCCGCACATCGTCGGAAGCTGAAACCACGAGCGATCTAAACCGTCGAAAAATGTTCTCTGTGGTGTTCGCCTGACCAGTTTCGTTCGGCCCTCGCTGTCGCTCTCGGTTTGTGTTGTCAGGGAGGCTGTGATTGGCTGATACAGCCATTACAAAATGTTTCGCGGGTTTTTTCCTTACGTTGACAATAACGGGTAAATTTGGCGCATGAGATACCTCAACCATCCCCCTTTGGTCCACTGTACTATCATTTACCTTACAGCACAGAGGGAATGTTGTTAGAGGGGTATTCCTCTCCCGTCCACAGTCCCAACCACAGTCCAAGCCGCGGGCATATGGTTTGGGTATGGGACGAACCAGTCTCTCGAGACAGATTCACCCGCCGCCATGTCCCTGCGCCGCGTCAGGGGGCGGGGACCCTTGGGATTGGGTTTCATGGATGACATTCGCGGCTCGGCCCGTCAAGATTGGAGGGATTTCGCTCACTCAAACGCGGACACCGTCAGCGCAGCCAAGCACCCCAAACAAGGGAACATCCATCTCCAGTTGTGTTGTCTCCACTGTCCACCATTCAGCTGTTCACCCCCCTTCACCCTCTCATCCATTTCGCCGGCCTATCAGGGATGGCAAGAAGAAAGATTTTGTCCTGCTGTTGTTGTTCATTCCATCCACCATTCTCACTTCATTCAAACATTGATGCTTGTTTTGCGTGTAGGCAATACAACAAGAAACCTCGGCCGCTATCTTCGCTGAGGGCTATCAATAAGACGTCAGTCATTGATGCTTATTCTAAACGTTCGCCTTTCGTGACTCCCACTCCTCTTCAGCTTCCAGAATGCACGTTAACAGAGTTGGTTTTTTGTCCGTGAGATGTGCTACTTCTCGACAAAATCACTCGATGTATCTGATGGTTACTTAAGAGGTTAATAGATCCTCGTTACATTCATAGTGATAGTCTGCTTTCGAGCCGCCTGCCCTCTAATCCATTCTTCCGCTCCCATACGACTCGCATCGCATCGCTTTTAGCCGCTCGCTTAGACTACTTTCGCGTTTTCGATGCGTTCAATGCTGCCGCTCCCGTCTTCGCTCCCAGCGACGTAACTTATTTCCCGTTTAGCAATCCGGCCGCATAATAATATATCAGGCGCCTGTGACGTATGCCTTCACGACTTGCGCTGCAATACAGCCACAAGTGACTAGAAGTTTCGCTTGGAGAAATAGACCCTGTTTTAGAGGAGGCTTTTTTCTAGACTTCTGAACGATTTGCTCGGCAGTACGCGGCTCCAAGGCACGGAAAACCTTGTTCGGAGGAGCAGTCAGTCGGCCTAACCGAGCTGGCTGCTCTCTTCCCGTTATCTCCGTGGGAAGCACTGAAATTTCCCTTCAACTTCATTGAAGGACAATGTTCGCAATCAATGGGGCCGACTCCCCGTCGCCTTCCCCCGACGCGACCGTGCTGCAAGTGTCAGTGGTTCAGGGCCGGAACTTGCAGCTTCCAGGCGGCGTGCAGGACAAAGGCGGAGCCACGGTGTCGCTCTCTCAGGGAAAAAACCAGGTACTTAGTTCCCGCCAATTAATTAGCTTTGCTTCCGAACCATGTAGAGCATGGCACATTGCCCGAGTCAGTCATAATTTGCGAGATAAAAAATAAGGTAAGAAATATTTTTAGTACCAGTCGCGTGGCCTCGCACGATGTAGCACCGTGATGGATATTCACACAACCACAATTCCTCGTACCGGGAACAGTCAAACATCGCGCAAATTTTATTTATCTGTTCCATCGGTTGCTCTTTTTGAAACGACCAATGTTGTGCGTCTGAGACGGAGTGGCTAAAATCAGAATTCTCTCGCGTCTTTTCAAAGTAGACTTTAGGATGCAGACCCATGTCTCGAGCGGTCCTTTGGCGTGCAAACTTCACATTTCTTTCGCGTCTTTTCGATGTAGTTGCAATTATGCATTCGCATGCTTGGCTCGGCTAGCTCGAGATATGGGTCTCCCTCCTATTGCGCACGGTTGACACAGGTGAAGACATCTGCAAAGATTCTTGACTCCGTTTAAAAAACGCCCTCAATCGCTCCGTTCTAAAATGCACCTGATGCAGGTGAAGACAGCAGCGAAGACGGGAGCGGCTCCCAAGTGGCTCCAGGACTTTAAGATTCCTCTGGACTACTCGCCTGGTGCTTCCCTGCCGCAGCCAGGCGACGTCGTTCTCCAGGTCAGATCCGTTCTCTGTCTCATATCTCAACTGTGTGACCTGTGCGTCATAATGACTTCTCCTTGGACTGAGAAGTCATGTCTCAACCTTGTGTCCTGTGCGTCATATTGACTTATGCTTGGACTGGGAATTCATATCTCAACCTTGTGTTCTGTGTTGTGCCTTCAGGGTAAATTACCCAGGAAAGGTGATTCTGGGTTTAGCTCGCGGGACAGTTCGAGGAGGTGCTGGCCAGGTGTAATTTGATGCGCTTCACAAACCAAGTGATAAAAGTGTAGTTTTGAAACGTCTCAAAACAACGAGGTGACTTTTGAGTCGTCCCAAAAGTCACCTTGAGACGTCTCAAAACTACACTTTTATCACGTAGCTAGCTCGCTAGACAGTTTGAGGAGTTGCTGGCCAGGTGTGATTTGATGCGCTTAACAAATCGAGCTTTTCTGCTGGCACTTCATGAAAGAATCTCTGCGCCCTCTCCCCCTCCCCCTCCCTCTCCCTCTCCCACGCACAGAGATAGCAATCAGCTCACCTCACACGGGAGACGAGGCGCTGGCCAGGTGTAATCTGAGGCGCTTCAGAAACCAAGCTTCTCAGCTCCCCTCTCCCGCTCCTCTTGCTCTCCCGACCACTCACACAGATAGCAATTACCTCACCTGACACGGGAGACGAGGTGCTGGCCACGTGTGATGTTGACGTGGCAGATCAGCTGCAGGGCGGCACAGTGGTGCGCTGGTATCAAATCAAGGACAAGGACGGCGCTGGGGTCGGCGAAGTTTGTCTTGTTCTGCGGATTGCGAAGCCTGCCGCCTTGCGTCCAGGTGGGTTAGGGCAAGGGTGCTATTTTTTTTGCTCCCGATTCTTGGACTGTGGGCACCTGCATAAACCTCCCTCCAATGCTCCCGATTGTTCCTGACAGGTGGTGCTTCCCCCAGCCACCCCAAGAGCAGCGTCGCCAGTCAACTGAACAGAAACCATTCTGCAGCGGTCATTGACCAAACCACCCAAACCACTCAAACCACCGAAACCATCCAAACCATGCAAACCACGCAAACCAGCAAAACCATTCAGACCAACCAGACCACCCAAACCACCGAAACCACCGAAACCAGTGCTGGTGCTAACATCACCGGTACTGCTGCTGCCGGTGCTGCTGCTCCATCCGCCTTTGCAGCTGCTTTCGACGTCTTTGCAGCCCATGCCTCCACTGCTGCTTCAGATGATGGTGATGATGATACAGCTGCAGTTGCCACGGCTGCTGCTGACAGCGCCGATGATCCTGCTCCAGGAGCAGAAGACGCAGCAGGAACCAATTCTGAGCCTGTGAGAGTGGAGGTGCCTGAAGTCCATATCCCAGCAGAAGCAGCACCAGTTGCTGCATCACCAGCTGAAACAGCAGCAGCAGACGCACCGACGGCAGCAGCAGCAGGAGACACAGCAGCAGACACACCAGTAGCAGGCGTACCAGAAGACGCACCAAAAGATGCAGCACCACCAGCAGTTGCTGCTACAGGCGCGAGCACGGGCTCATCATTACTGGGCCGGCTGGAGAGGCGCAGCAACGTCCGGATCAGCAGGGGGACCGGGCTGGGCACGTCTGAATCCGGGCCTGAGAGCAGCACAGACGAACCTGAGGGTGCAGCTTCTGCGTCTGATCCCAACTCGCCTCGTAGTGAGAGTTCCTCCCTAGCAGTGTCCAGTGAGGGTATTACGGCCGTGGTTGGGCGGCTGGAGAGGCGGAGAAACATCCAGAGCGGGAGACTCTCGGCGCAGAGCTCTGCTGAAGGCACAGGGGAATCCTCAGGTGATTCCTCTGGTGCTGTCGCAGCAGCAGGAGCAGACTCACCTGGTGCTGCTTCTGGTGATGGGTCACCGTCAACCTCCCAACAACAGCAGTCCTCCTGGTCGGGAGCTTGGCGGTGGGGGGACCGACAAAACAAGGGCAGCAGCTCAGACAAGGCAATGGGGTCCTCTGTGGGCTCTTTGTTCCAAGGCAGGGCGCTGAATAGCTCTGCCCGGCGGGCTGACGAGGCTGCGAGTCCAAAGGCGCGCAGCAAGGGGGGGAGCGTTGATTTTCTGGGTAGTTGGGGGACTTACTGGTATCGGGTCGAGTGGGAGTGCTAGCAGCAGGAGTGTTGGTGGTGCGGATGAAAGCAGTAGCATCAGCAGCGCCATTAGCAGCGGTGGGAGCAGTGCTGAGATTGAGGACTGGGTGCCGCCGAAGCATTTTCGTAAGGTTATGTCGATCAAAATGGTGAAGAAAGATTTGCTTCGGCAAGCGGGGAGCAGCCGGGCAGTAGTGACGAGGCTCAGCGGGGGGGTTGGAGGCGGTATTGGGGAGTTCAGAGCGACAGGAGGGAGGGAGCTGAAACGAACAGAGGTTATGCATGTGAAAGGGGGGTCTGCAAGGGACGCAGGAGGGGAAGGACAGGGGGGCATCGCTCAAACAGAAGACGTTGGGTTTGGGCGATCAGCAAGGGTGGCAGGAGAGGGGCTTGGGGGGATAGCTAGGTCGGCAGAGGAGCGAATTGGGGGATCAGCTAGGGAGGCAGGAGAGGCAGCAGCGGGCAGATTGCTTGGATCAAGCAGCCTGCCAGGGCAAGGGCAGAGCAAAGGGGAAGAACAGAGGCAGGGGTTAGAGAGCCCGAGCAGTCAACAACGCAGCCCTACAGTGGCTCCTATGAAGCCTGTTGTGCAGAGGAAGAAAATCAGCTTCTATCTGTCGCCTGTGATAGAGCCAAACGGTCCGGAGGAAAGCTCGACTAGCTCGGGGCTGGATCTGGGAGGAGGAGCAGCAGAGGCAGCAGCAGCGGCGGAGGCAGCAGCAGCGGCAGAGGCAGCAGCAAAGGCAATGGCAGCAGCGAAAGCAGAGGCAGAAGCATTCGCTGAGGCAGCAGCAAGGGCAGAGGCAGAAGCAGCAGTTGAGGCAGCAGCAAAAGCAGAGGCAGCAGCAGAAGCAGAAGCTGCAGGAGTAGTGACGGCGGCAGCGGCAGAAGCAGCAGCAGAAGAGGCCACAGCAGGTGCCGAAGCAGCAGCGGCAATACAGGCCGAAGCAACAGCAGTGGCTGCAGCAGCGGCACAGGCAGCAGCAGCAGCTGAAGAAGCAGCAGCAGCAGAGGCTGCAGCGAGATCAGTGGCTGCAGAAGCAGACTTAGTAGCAGCGGAAGAGGAAACAGCAGCAGCCGAGGCAGTGGCAGGAGTTGCACAGGCTGCAGCAGTAGCAGAGGCTGCAGCAGCAGCAGAAGCATCAATAAAGGCAGAGGCTGCAGCAGAATCAGAAGCTGCAGGTTCTGAGGCAGCAGTGGCGGAAGAGGCAGTAGAAGCTGCAGCAGCGGCCGAGGCAGCAGCAGCAGCAGAGGCAGCGGCAGCGATACAAGCTGTAGCAGCAGCTGAGGCTGCAGCAGCGGCAGAAGCAGCAGCAGCAGCGGAGGCAGCAGAGACAGCAGTAGCAGCAGAGGCTGGAGCAGCAGCGAAGACAACAGCAGAAGCTGACGAAGCAGTAGCCTCAGAAGCTGCAGCAAAATCAGAAGTTGCCAGTACAGAGGCCGCAGCAGCGACAGAGGCAGCAGAAACAGCGGCAGCAGCAGAGGCAGAAGCAGCTTCAGCTGCAGCAGAGGCTGCAGCAGAAGCAGAGGCAGCAGCAGAAGCACAAGCAGCAGTAGCAGCAGAGGCTGCAGCGGCGGCAGAGGCAGCAGAGGCAACGGCAGCAGCAGCAACAACAGAGGCCGCAGCAGCAACAGCAGCAGCAGCAGAGGCAACAGCAGCGGCAGAGGCGGCAGCATCAGCAGAGGCCGCCACTGCAGCAGAGGCAGCAGCTGAAGCAGCGGCGGCTGCGGCAGCATTGGAAGCAGCAACAAATGCAGAAGCTGCTGCAGCAGCAGAAGCAGAGGCAGCAGCAGCAGCAGCAGAAGCTGCCGCAACAGCAGTGGCAGAAGCAGAGGCAGCAGCTGCAACAGAGGCAAAGGCGGCAGCAGAGGCAGCAGAGGCAGCAGCAGCAGCACAAGCTGAAGCTGCATCAGCTGCAGAAAACGCTGCTACTGCAGAGGCAGCAGCGGTGGCAAAGGCAACTGAGACCGCCGCAGAGGCCACAACAGCAGCACTGGCTGCAGCAGCAGCAATAACAGTGGCAACTGCGGCGGCAAAGGCATCAGAATCTGCAGCAGTGGCAGAGGCAGCGGCAGAGACGGTGGCAGCCGAGACAGCAGTAGCAGCAGAGGCTGCGGCAGAAGCAGAGGTTGCAGCAGCAGCAGAAGCAAAGGAAGCAGCTGCGGCAGCAGAGGCAGCAGAAGCGGCAGTAGCAGCGGCGGCGGCGGCAGAGGCAACTGCGGCAGCAGCAGAGGCTGCAGCGAATGCAGTGGCAGCAGAATCAGAGGCAGCGGTAGGGGCAGCACAGGTTGCAGCAGCAGCAGAAGCAGAGACAGCAGCAGAGGCAGAGGTAACAGTGGCTGCAGCAGCAGCAGCGGCAGAGGCAGAGGAGGCAGTGGGAGAAGCTGCGGCAGATGCAGCATTAGCGGCAGAACGAGAAGCAACAGCAAAAGCTGGGATAGCAGCAGCAGCTGCAGCAGAGGCAACTGCAGAATCAGAAGCTGCAGCAGCAGCGGAAGCAGGGGCAAAAGCAGCTGCAAAGGCAGCAGCAGAGGCAGACGCTGCAGCAGAAGCAGAGGCAGCAGCAGCAGAGTCTGCAAGAACAGGCGAAACTGTTGCAGCAGCACAGGCAGCAGCAGCATCAATGGCAAAAGCTGCAGCAGAATCAGAGGCAGCAGCAGCAGCAGCAGAGGCTGCAAGAGCAGCAGAAGCTGCAGCTGAAGCAGAGGCAGCAGCAACAACAGAGGCTGCTGCTACAGCAGCAGCAGCAGAGGCTGCAGCCGTGGCACTGGCAGCAGCTGCAAATGCTTCAGCAGAAGCAGAGGCAGCAGAGGCAGCAGCGGCAGCAGCAGCAGCAGAGGCTGCAAGAGCCGCAGAAGCCGCAGCTGAAGCAGAGGTAGCAGCAACAACAGAGGCTGCTACAGCAGCAGCGGTAGCAGCAGTGGCAGAGGCAACTGCAGCAGCAGCAGTAGCTGCAACTAAAGCAGAGGACGCAGAGGCAGAGGTAGCAGCAGTATTAGCAGAAGCTGCAGGAGCAACAGAAGCTGCAGCAGCAGCAGAAGCAGAGGCAGCAGCAAAGGCAAAGGCTGCTGCTGCAGCAGAGGCAGCAGCTGAGGTTGCAGCAGCAGCAGAGGCTGCATCAGTAGCACAGGCTGTAGCAGCAGCGGCAGAGGCAGCAGTAGCAGCAGAGGCGGCTGCTGCAGCAGAGGCTGTAGCAGCAGCAAAGGCAGCAGCAGCAGAAACTGCTGCTACTGCTGAAAACCCCACTGCTGTTGTAGTTATTTCCTCGGCCACTGCCATTGCAGGCGCTGCCACTGATGCTGCCACTGGTGCTGCCACTGGTAGCACCATCATCACCACAGAAACTTCAGCAGCAGAAACCGCTGCTGCTGCTGAAAGCACCACTGCTGTTGGTGGTAGTTTCACTGCCACTGCCATTGCAGGTGCTGCCACTGTTGGTGCTGCCACTGCTGGTGCTCCCACTGCTGGTGCTGCCACTGCTGGTGCTGCCATTGCAGGTGCTGCCACTGATGCTGCCACTGCTAGCACCTTCATCACAACAGAAACGTCAGCAGTAGAGATCATTACTACCGTTACAAGCACCACTGCTGGTGCTGCTAGTTCCACTGCCACTGCTGGTGCTGCCACTGATGCTGGCATTGCTAGCACCATCATCACCACAGAAGCTTCAGCAGTAGGACTCCCTGCTACCATTGAAAGCATCACTGCTGGTGGTGCTATTTCCACTGCCACCGCTGGTGCTGCCACTGATGCTGGCACTGGTAGCACCATCACCACAGAACCTTCAGCAGCACCAACCGCGGCTACTGCTGGTGGTAGTTCCAATGCCAATGCCATTGCAGGTGCTGCCACTGGTGCTGCCAATGATGCTGCCACTGGTAGCACCATCATCACCACAGAAACTTCAGCAGCACAAACCACTTCGAAATCTGGAGCAGCAAAGGCAGCAGCAGCAGAAACCGCTGCTACTGTTGAAAGCGCCACTGCTGCTGGTGGCGCCACCGCTGCTGGTGGCGCCACCGCTGCTGCTGTTGCTGCGGCCGCTGCTGAAAACACTGCTTCTGTTGGTGCTGAGACGGAAAGCGTCATCATTGCAGAAACTAGAGCAGAAGAAACCACAGAAGCCATTTCGAAGTCTGGTTCGGAAGCTGCATCACCAGCTCTTTCAGACGTTCCTGGTTTTGACGCTCGGTCGAAATCGGGCCCTCTGGATAAGCTAGGCATTCCCAAGAGTTGGAGCGGAACAGCACTGAGCGCCACAGGCAGCAGAGCAGCAAGCAGCATGTCAAAATCTGGCCCGCTCAGCCTCACAGGAGAACCTGTGGGTGGGGCTGAGTCGCCTGGTGGGGGGAGTTCTGAGGGATCCCCATGGAACGAAGGATTTCCTGGTAGTGCCTTTGGTAAATCCAGAAGTAAAGGGTCTGTGGCAGGGACAGGGGCAGGGGCAGGGGCAGGGGCAGGGGCAGGGGCAGGGGCAGGGGCAGGGGCAGGGGTGGAGAAGTCAAGCAAGTCGATGGCTTCAACCGTGTCTTCCATGTTCCGATCGATTTCTCTCAACCCGTCGCGCCGCCGGGCGAGTGTGGGAGTGAGCAGCAAGAGCGGCAGCAAAAGCAGCAGCAGCGGCAGCATCCCTATTGGTGAGGACACGAGCATCACCAGCAGCACCACCACCACTAGCATCACCAGCACAACCGCCACCAGCGTTGTCAGCAGCACTGGCACCAGCATCACCAGCAGCAGTGGCAGCAGCTCAGGAGGCACAGAGACAGCAGCCCAGAAGAGGGTGCGTTCATCTATTTCCCTCAAGCTTGGCTCAACGGACCTTCTGAGCAAGCGAGGGGGAAGCGGGGCAGCAATAATCAGCCCAGGTGCCAGCACAGGAGGAGGAAGTGGGTTGTTTGGATTCGGCAGTGGGCAGAAACAGGGGAAGGGGAAAGGGAAGGGGCAGGGGCAGGGGCAGGGGCAGGGGCAGGAGCAGGAGCCTGAGAGTCCGAGCAGTTTACCCAGCCCTATGTCGG